TTTAAACTGGATATATCAGATATTTCTTTGTACAGATGATTAGACTAACCCAGGGAGAAACCGTGACTTGCCTAAAATTGCCCAAGGAAGCGATAACAGAACTAGGACCCAAACTCAGGTCTGGTTTTCTTTTTAATACACATTGGGCCCTGTCTGTCTCCTAGAGTTGTTTTTAGAATCGTACTAGATCATGTGTATGGAAGTAATTTGAAAAAGTATGAAACTTATATAAATGTAAGGTATTGTCAGTAGTATTAGTCATCTTCCATTCATTTAGGGGCAAAGAAGTAGGATATCGTAAAATCTTTTAAAAATTATGGACTGAGGATGCTTAGACCATCAGATAGGAGTAATATACTGAGATCCATTCCCTCTCCTTCAAATGGCCCCTTTTATCTGAGCACTACAAAATCAGCATAGTACAAATATAAATCTCTTACTTCATCTTGTATATCAATTTGCTATCAGTCAGACATTTAGTAAGTGCCTACTAGGTGCTGGTGATACAGATATAAAAGTGAGATAGTCATTATTGCAAACGCCATTCCTCGTGACTTAGAGGCATTGCAGAAAAGCCTGATCACAAATCCAAATTATTTTCAAGTCCTGGCACACCTCCAAAATCCATACTTTCTTTCCTATTCTTACTGCAAAAATCTTCATAAACCTTTTGATACTGTAGACAGTGGTAATGTTCTTCTAAAGCTGAGCCTGACAAACTACAGCCCAAATGCTAAGATTGATATTTACATTTTTAAATTAAGTTCCATTGTATTTTAAAATGTAAAAATCCTTCTTAACTCAAGGCTATAGGGCACTGGATTTGGCCCAATGCTATAGTGTAGAGACACCTTCTCTTCCCTCCCCTTCTAGAATCTTCTGTAATCTAGATGTTATGAATTCAAGTCAATCTAAAATAACCACAGTTCAAATAATTGTCATTATAACCATATCAGTCAAGCCCTTCCTAAGTTTCTCCAATTTCCTCATAGCCTTCCATAAGGACTTTTTTTTTTTTAAACAAAGTACACACTTAGAATCTGTGATTGTGACGCTTTACCAAGTTTTCATTTTTAAGGGTGGTGGCAAATGCTAAAAAATCTTGCGTGATTTAGGCTGAAGCCAAGCATATAGGATATGAAATCATCCATTATAGTGTTCAATCATAATTCCCCATCTTTTCACCTAGTATTTTCATCCCAAAATGATGATGGTGGTAGAATTAAATAAGTATAATGTCATATTCCAGTTCCACCCTTGGCCACTTTCATCATTGAGATTCACATTTCCATTTACTTAAAAAACAATGATGCACCCAGAATCACACAGCCATCAAGACAAAGTTAATTGGAATCTAGGATGGTGGTTTTTTTTTTTTTTTTAATTTTCCATTTCTTGGCCCTGCTTCGGGTTGTTTGTTGTTGTTGTTGTTGTTTTTTTAATCATTTAAGAATGAGTATTTTGTTAAATACTTACCTGACCAATGATAGTAAGCTAGCAGTCTGAGAGAAAGACAGGGACAGGATGAAAAAGGAGATCGGCAAAATGACTCAAAACTAGCATTTATATTTAGAATTTGTACCTTTGGTACAGGAAAAGAAAGTATAAGGTTCAGGCAACTTCTCACTGTACCTTTGTTTCTTGGCAGGATTGGTGAGACCTTATTCCTGGGCCAAATCTGCTCAGTCATAATTGCCGTAGTTCATTGCAAGCCAATTTTTTTTTGTTGCAAGCTCTGTAAACCCACCTTAGCATAGGTGAAGGGGAGACAGAGATTAAGTAGAAATGGATTAAAAGAAATGAGTGTAGAATGTAAGTGCTGACTTGTTCTTTGTTCTACAACCTGTCAATACAAAGTATCTGGCTGCTCTTTTAATTTGGGACAAAGTTGTGAGAGATGATCTCTGAGAATCTCTCAGGAATGAAGCCTCCTCAGGGAGTTAATTGCTTCTTGTTCTGTTGAAACACTTGCAGCTGGTTGACCTTGTAAAGAAACATGTTTTTCAACTTTATCAGACCTCCTCCTCCCTCTCTAAAACTATTTACTGTAAAAAGAAAAAGAAAACCTCCTGTCTCCAGGCAAGTTGTAAAAAGTGTCCTTGTTCTTTATTGCTGGGGTAGATTGCCTCCAATAGATTGTACCCTCAAAGCTTGCATTAATGAGCCCTGAGGAAGGGGGGAGGGGATTGCATTAGGACCTATATAACGTGTTGATCTGAACACACCTCTGCTCTCTTCTGTCAGCGCCAATTTTTTGGTGTTCTGAGGGAGCCCTTTCTCGAGAAAACTAAGAAATGAATGTTTCTTTTTGTTAATATCTCTGAATCTCCGATTCATTGATAAGGGTCTCTGTACCCCACACAAAGTGAATGTTGCCAGCTGACATACTTAAAGTTCCCAGGTAGCCCCTGCTGTCACCCATAGGCAAAGCTGTGATTATCAATTTTCACAATGGAGAAAGGGTCACAAACCTTGGTAGGGGAAAGGGAGAAGACAAGGAGCAGCATCACCCCGCAGAGAAGACAGAGCACCTAGGACATATATGAAGACTAACTCTGGGGAGGCTAGGGCCACAGAGGGGAGAGGGGAGAACCCAAGGGAAAAGTGCCTATCACCCACCCTAATTGTTGCATTGACCGTATCCAGAGTTATTGTTCCAAAGCAGAAAGAAAAAATGAGTAGAAGTTTTTCATGAAACATTTTTTTGTATTTCTTATAATAAAGTGGTATATAGAGTATAGGAGGGTTAGGGGAAGAAGCTATATAAGTAAATATGAAATATGTTCTAGAAAAGTCCTTTATACATACTCTGTAGATTACTTCAACATACACTATTCCTTTGTACTTCCTTATTTTTGTTAGTGATGCCACCGTCTTCCTAGTCACCCAGGCTTACCTTTGATTCCTACCTCATTTCCCCCTGGCCGGAGCTAATGAATCAATTTTTTTTCTCCCCTTTGCCGCTATTGTTTTGTATTATATTTGGGGGTACATAAATATTTTCTTTCCCCTACAAGACTGAAAGTTCCTTATTCTTTTTTGTTTTCTCTGCCTTACCTAGTCTTACTCCTTTATACATAGAAAACAATTAAAATGTATATATAATTTTTTTAATAGATTTAGACTTGTCTTACCCAAATCTGGACTGTTATAACACCTTACTACTAAGTCTCCATATAACTTCATCATGTGGCATTCGGGGCCCACGAGGTCCAGTCCCAATCTGTCTTTCCAGCTTTATTTCTCATTATTCCCTTTCACACAATCCTACATTCAAGCCAAACTGTGCTGTTTGTTATTGCCCACAAATTCCCTGTACACTTTTGCCTCCATTCTTTTGCTAAAATTGTTCTTTACACTTCCAGTGTTCTGTGATGCCCATTGAAGTCTTTCCCGTCCTTTAAATCCTAACTCAGATGCCACCTCCACTCTGAAACCTTCCTTCATGTCCTCAGCCAGAATTAACCTGACCCTCCTGTGAGCTCCTTTGACATTTTATGACTCCCTTCTAGAACTTGCCCCTTGAAGCTTTCTTCTGCTTTTTTATATCCTGTTTTTTTATATACACATCTTATCTCCCTTGTCAGACTAAGCTTTCTTCTGCTTTTTTATATCCTGTTTTTTTATATACACATCTTATCTCCCTTGTCAGACTAAGCTTGTAGGTCTTAATCACTTTTCACTAAGCACCACAGCATAAAGTACAATGGTCTACATAGTTGTAACTTATTTTTTTTTAATAGGACATGACCAGAGAATATTTCTAAGGTCCCTTTTGCAAAAACTGTTAGGAATTTTTAAATAATAAAAAAAATAAAACATTTGAGATCATTGTTGGTTTTGGAGTTAAAGGACCTATTCAAATCCCAGCTTTGCTATTCACTATTTGTACGGACTTGGGCAAGTCTTTTGCTTCTCTGGCCTCAGTTTCCTGATCTTTAAAATGAATAAGTCACACTAGATAATCTCTAAGGTCCTGTTTCAGTTCTAAACTGTGATTTTTAAGATACTAGATTAATATAACTAAAATGTCAGTGTAGATTTCAACAAGCATACTAATCCATCATATCAATTAGCCAAGCCGGTTTAAAGAAGTCAAGAAATCTAAAAGAAATAGCATCCGTGGTTTCTTGTATCTCATACATTTGTTGTTTATCAGTGATTTTAAGTCATGTCCAAATCTTTGTGAACCCATTTGGGGTGTTCTTGGCAAAGATAATAGAGTGGTTTGACATTTCTTTTTCCAGCTCATTTTACAGTTGAGGAAACTGAGGCAAACAAGGTTAAGTGACTTGACCAGGGTCATACAGCTAGTAAGTATCTGAGTGAACTTGGAAAGATGAGTCTTTCTGATTCCAGGCCCAGCACTCTGCACTGCACCCGCCTAGCTGCCCTCATACATACATCTCATACATAAAATTCAATAAATTTTGTTACATTGAGAAGAAAAAAGAATTATAGCGATCTTCAGGAGCTTCATAAGAAAAGTTGACTTAAAATATCTTATTACAAACAAGGGTTCAGTATTAATCCCAGGGGATACATAATCTTTTGATATATGGTATTTGGTCCAAAGAGGTTCCTGGCAACATGATTCTAATTGCTTAAATAATTATTTCTTTTCTTGCATAATACTTTTTATGTTGATGGATAGTCATAAATATTAACCACCAGCAGTACAGTAGTAATTTATATTGAAATTGTCAGACATCATTCTGTAAACACATAAAATAATTTACATTTATTTAGAACCTTTTATCCTAAAATGCTTTACACGTATTGCTTTATAATCTGATTGTAAACTATATTTAGGAACTTCCTCACCTAAAATGGGACTATTTCTGGGATGAAATATTCTAAGTACAGTGATTTACATATAGGGCAGCACCACACAGCAACAACAAAAGGGGAGATGCCATATATCTCTAGTTTAGAAAAAAAAAGTATTTTTTCTATATGCCATTGCTAAACTCAATGCTTTCATGTGTTTTTGTTTCTAGGACTGGAGAATCCATGTTGACCAAATGCACCAACACAAAGGTGAAATTGAATCTGCTTTAAAAGAGACAAAGGTAAGCATATTACTATCAGTCAACAAATATTTCCTGTCCTCCAAAAGTCCTCATTGTGATGTGACTTAAATGAAACAGAAGATATAACTGAGTCCTGTGAGGAGCTCATCTAGCTGAATAGTATGTAAGAAAAGCTAACTTTGTGTTGTTATCAGGGTGACACTGTTGGCCAGGAAGGGAGGGGATGAGAAATGTCAGAACAGTAGGAGCTCTGGGGCTGGAAAATCACCCTTCCACTGAAGGAGCTCTCTTTAAGCTCCTATTTGGGTATATTCCTTCTACATATTTTACTCTGTACACGGTTAATACTACACATGCACATTTCTGACACACATCAAGACAGAAAAATGCATTGACTTATACATTAACATAGGTGCTTTTTCACAGTCTTCAAAGTATGCCTAAAATATCTTTAATAAACTTTTCATAACTAAAAATTTCAGAAAAATTTTTCATGTAGGTCTTTAGAGCAGTTGAGCAATGTTAGGTAGGATTATGGAATGATATACATATTTCATTTGGATTTCTGAAAAAAATTTTTGTGAAGTTTCTTTCTTACTGAAAATCCTATGAAATTTCTAGGGATTTTTGGACAAACTCCATAACGAGATCAGCAGGACCCTGGAAAAGATCAGTAGCCGAGAAAAATACATCAACAATCAGCTTGAGCATTTGATTCAAGAGTATCGTGCTGCTCAAGCCCAGCTGAGTGAGGTAACTTAAGAATGACTATTAAGAGTTCTGGTTAATGATCCTAATCCTTGGCATTAGCTTAATACCTTTCTCTTGAGAAACTTGAAGTTCTTTACAATAGCAGCATATTCTTCTCTTGGTAATTCTGGAAGCTAAATAGGCAGCAGACCTAATTATCTCCTTTTGTCAGGTATGCTAAGCCTGTAATTTCTTTTTAAAGACCCATCTTCTGGATGAAGGTCTTTGAAGTAATATCCATGTGAAATGAGGTCTAGGTTCATATTGCTGAGAGACATGATCTAGAGCAGCAAACTTTGAGACAGGGAACTCTCTTATTCAGGTTCTGATTCTTCCATTAACTTACTTTGTGAACAGGAGGAATAAAGATAAAATGCACTTATATGTTTTCCTTTAATATTGGGTTATAGTAACATAAAGGTTGGTGCACAGTAGAGAAGGGCAAAAGTAATGTTGGGAAATATATTTAGGGATCAAGAAATGTAAGAAGTCAAAGGCTTATAACTGATTCAGAAGGCTCCTCCTATTTATGCATCATTGAATTCAGTTCAATTCATCATATAGTCTTAGCCCCAAACAGTACCAAACAACATCACAAAGAAATTAAATTGACTCTTAATAAACCAGAAACACCTAATGACCAAAGTGGAAGTTATCTCAGAATTGACTGTTTTGGTGTAATCAAATCACCATAGAGCAAAATTAGCAGTAAATGAAAAGAAATGATAAAGATGAGAAGATAAGTGTACCTAAGTAGAGCACCTCCAACCCACTCTGTTTAATAAACTGTTGGCCCAGAGAGAAAAAATGGGAAATAGACAAAACTAATTATCACCATTTCTTAAACAATTATTATTACTATTTCTTAGAAAAGTTTAGCCATGCAAAACAGTCACCACAAAGCGGAAATCAAAAATACTTGGAACGCCTTCGCTGGCAAGCACTTGTTCTCCTCAACAAAGGAGACACAGCAGCCAAAGATAAGTTGTAGTATCAGATCATTTACAAAGCTTTATAGAAGAGGATGACAGAAGGTTTTGACCAGGACTAAAATTTTGCAGAGAAGTTTAACAATTAATTGCCAGTGGAACATGAAAAAAACATAGAAACCACCTCAGCTAACAAGCCTGCTGCTCTCCTTGTCAAGCAGAAATTGATGGCAACCAAAGGCAATAGTAGTTTAGAGCAGAGGTGTCCAACAGACAGCCTGCTGGCCATGTGTGGTCCACAACACTCCCAAGTGCAGCCTGAACCATGTTAGAACATAATTGGGAAATATTTATCAAAACAAAAATAAGAAAAAACATGTTATAGTAATACGTGGTTCTCTAAATCAGTCTTGAAAAATCGCAGAGATCTTTATGTATGGTCAGTGGCCCCCATTTCTATGTGAGTTTGACATCATTGGTTTAGAGTACAAACTCATCTGTAAAACAGTATAAAATATTTTGGTAAATCTTGACACCTCATAGGACAGTGAAAAGTATTTGAAGGGAAAATGAGTTTCCATAGTGATCTTGGAATGAAATCCAGCTAACCCAGATCATACCAAGAACATTTATAAATGAAACTGAAGACAGAAAAGATATGTGGGGGCAGCTAGGTGGCGCAGTGAATAGAGCTGTGGCCTTGGAGTCAGGAGGACCTGAGTTCAAATTTGGCCTCAGACACTTGATACTTACTAGCTGTGTGACCCTGGGCAAGTCACTTAATCCCAATTGCCTCACCAAAAAGCAAAAAGAAAAAGAAAAGAAAAGAAAAGAAAAGAAAAGATATGTGAAGTGGAGCATGTGCCAGCATTTCTGAAGCAAGCAAAGACTCAATCTAGTCTAATTGATAATAACAGAATCACCACATTTGCACATTTGGCTTTACCATCTTATTACCCAACATAAGAAGAAGAAGCAAGAATATACTTACACAGGTAAGTAAGGAAGAGTGACCAGACTTTGCTAAATAAAGAAATGCAGAAGAAATTCATCCAGCCAATGACACAGTTTTTAAAGTTCTCAGATCAGTTTTCAAGCTATCCCAAAGAAGAGAAGAGCCTGAAAAAACGGAAAAAATCACAAGCAATATTATTACGCCAAAAAAAGTAACTAAAAAATACCTACAACTACTGAGCCATATATCTACTTTTTTCAACTCTATAAAATCTTTCTGAGACTGATCTTTGTATACATTGAAGGCATCCTTGAAGGAAGCATAAGCAGGGAGCGGACAGGGTAGTTTTCTGCAACATGCCACATTTTCACATTCCTATAAGTGAGAGGTTTTAAACCTGACAATCATTACCTATTTCTGGTGATTCAGAAGAGGACAGATGATACCTCCATAAGGAACGAAGTAAGCTTTGCTAGGAATTAAAAAGTTCTGGGCAAAAAATTGGAAACCTTTGGGGCACAGGTGGTGTTTTTATCACTGCTGCCAATTGAAGGGAGGGATTTTGGAAAGGAAAACAGATTTGCAAAGTGAACAGCTGAGTAAGAAGATAGTATGTGAGAACAGGATTTGGATTTCTGGACCATGTCTTCAAGTACAGAAACAATAGGCTCTTGGCCAGAGATGGAGGACACCTAGTGAGGGCTGGTAAAAATATTCTTGCTTAGAGTCTTGCAAATCTGATTCAAAAGACTTTAATCTGTAAGTGGGGACTAAAATTATCTGGTCATCTGGTAGAGCTTTCTCTCTTCACATTAGAGCAGCTAATAAATTCTTGAATCAACTTAAAGATAATTTCATTCTTCAAAAGATGGAGAAAATAAGGGAAGATTTTTTGTACCTGATTTTGATTAATAAGAAGAAACTGGTTGTTGAAATAGAAATAATAGGGACCTTATGGGAAAGTGACCCTTCTGTCTTATTACTTGTATTGGGGGAAAAAAAGGAATGCCAGACATAGTCTGACATGCATTCCAGCTTTGGGGAGACTGGATTTCAAAGTTCAGAAGTGGATAGGTAGGCTCCCGCGGCCTAAAATTCTATAGAAGAAGTATGTCCTCTATAGGATGGGAAGCTCTCGAATAGAATTCTAAAGACATAAACAAAAACAATTACAATAAAGAATAAAAAAGAGTTATCCACATAAAGAAACCAAACTGGAGACAGGGGGGATTCATCAAGGAATTTGGATTTTTGAAGACCTGACTAAAAGATTGAGTCAAGGAAGTTAATGGAGGATGAGTACATAACAATAGCATGTCTTAAAAGAATAGTGGCAGAAATGCTAAAGCTCAGAATGAGCTGAGATTAGTGGTGAATGTTAAGGACAACAACAACAAAAAAGCCTTTTTAGTTCTATTAGGAGAAAAAGAGAAAAAAGAAGCATCAAAGAAGGGGAAAGACTACTTCCTAGCATGAATAAGATAACAGGTTAAAAGGGAAAAAATAGAACTATTCAGCTGTTACTATGTTTCTGTTTTCTTTGCCAAAGAAAATATTTGGGCTGAGCAGTACAAAGTAAAAGAGTTAATACTAGAGAGTTGAAATCAAAGATGAGAGAATAGGAGCATCTAGCTGCCATTGGTGAGTTCAAGTCACCAAAGCCAGATGATTGGTTACTGAAAGAATTAGAGTATGTCATTGATGAGCCTCTATCAGTGACCTCTGAATGACTTTTGAGAGTAGGGAAGGTGCTACAGGGCTGGAGAAGTACTGATGATTGTACCTTATTATTTAAGAGGTGAAGATATCAGAGTCTACTAACTTCTAGCCAGTAAGTTGGATTGATTTTCTGGCTAGAGTCTAGAATTTAGTACTGAAGAAATGGTTTGTAAGCATTTAGAAAGAAAAGGCAGCATGGTTTTGTCCATGACAGGTCATGGTAGACTACTGTCATTTCCTTTTTTGATGAAGTTTCTATGCTGGTAGATCAAGGGAATTCTAGATGTAGATATAGTTTACCTAGATTTCAGCAAAGCATTCAGCAAAGTTTGTCATACTCTTCTTGGAGAGATGAGTCAGAACTTAACTGAATGACCGAACTCAAAGAATATTAGATAGGTGACAACTTGTTAGAATGCCTACCTTTGGCCCTATACTTTTCAACATTTTTATCAGAGTCTTAAATGAAGGCTTAGATAGCATGTTTTCAGAAGACACAAAGTGGGAGAGGTCACTAGTGCACTGGATCATAGAATCAGGAACTAAAAAGCAGTTAAGAAATTAGGACAATTAGATAAATCTTATTAGTTGAAATTTAATAGAGCCTACACTTGGATTCAGAATTTCCACTTTATGAACATAAGGGAGGCTTAGCCCAGCAGCAGTTTGTGTGAAAAAGATCTGAGGGTTTTAATGAACTACAAGCTCAATATGATTCAGTAATGCTGTGTGACAGTCACAAAAAGGTATTAAATGGAGAGACATATATGGCTCAGAATAGAGGAAATGTAATAGTCATTGTCAAGGATATGTATTGCTAGAAGAGAAAATGGGTTGGTTGTGTAGTAAGAGTGACAGATGGATTGACCTGAGTGCTACATTGGTATCTAAGAAATACAAAAAAAAAATCATCAAAGACACTGGGTAGACACTGTATGGAAGGTTTACAGAAAACAATGGACAAAAATTGGGAAGAATAAGAAACCATGGAGGTGTTTGGAACTGCCCTGGTGAGATGTATATCTGTACCAGTGAGATCTTAGAGCCACTGAAGAATGGCTGAAGAAAAGGAAGAAGACAGTTTTTACCGTAATATAAGGGCATAAAAGTAAGGCTAAATCCAAAACAGCTAGGGGTAGCCAGGTGGCATAGGGCAGCCTATGCCCTATGTAGTGGATAGAGTACTGAGTTTGAAGTCAGTAATACCTGTGTTTAAATCCAGCCTCAAGACACTTACTTAGCTGTGTAACCCTCGGCAAATCACTTAACCCTGTTTGCCTCAGTTTTCTCATCTGTTAAATGAACTAGAAAATGAAATGGTAAACCACTCCAGTATCTTTGCCAAGAAAATCCCAAAAGTGGTTGCAGTCCAACACGATTAAAAAGTGACTGAACACAATGAATGCAAGACACATCAGTTAATTAAATCAGAATTATTTTAAAGTCCTGCACTTTTAAGAAGATGGCAAAATTTTATAGTAGCCATTCTTCTAAAAGTTGGGGTAAAAAGAGTTCAGTGTGGGGTTTATCTCTCTGCTTTGTTGAAACTGGGATAGAATGATGGTAAATGCATAAATAGATAAAAGGCGTATTTCTAACTTTAGCAGGCACTTGTACCCACTGAAAGTAGGGAAGAGAGAAGAGGTAGAATTTTGTTAAATGGGAAAAAAGACAAAGCCACTGTGGTGGCCTTCAGGAGTTCCCCACATAAAGACAAAGTAGATAGTGCTTTTTACTTGAGACAGTTCCCATATTCCTATTAGCTGATTAACCACATGTAATATACTTATATGTATTGTTATTTCTTCAGAAATGCTTTGGAAACAGATTAAAACCATTCTGTAACTGTCAAGCATTAATATTAACTATTTTCTTAACATTTCTTCCCTAGAACTATATACATACTGATTACAGTCATCCTGTTAGTTAAATCTGGTAAAGTGCTAAGCATGATGATCTATTCTAATTGATTTTTAGGACTTACTTTCCTTTCTTGCTGTGCAGATCAGAGTGAACGCAAACCATTCTCCCGTACTGCTTAAGAATTACAGAAGATGATTTTTACATTGAACAATGATTTTGCAAGTTATACAGTCAAAATCCTAAAATAGAGATAATGTTATCACTTTATAGTACTGTAGGTCAGATATATATCTAATAGACATAATGTTCATTAGCCATGTAAAATAGCTGCACTTAATTGATACTTTCACAAACATTTCCACCAAAAAAGGAGGCTTTTGTCATGTAATGATATGCAGAAATGGCAACTGCAAAGTGGCCATATTTAAGTAATCTTGTGCTTCTATTTTGGACGTGTGACTAAATTAAATATCTTCTTTTTCAGGCAAGGGAAAGATACCAGCAGGGAAATGGTGGAGTGACTGAAAGAACTAGAATTCTTTCTGAGGTACAGAGAAAGCACTGCTGATATATTGATCCTGCACTTAGTTACCTAGGCTTTCAGATGCTGTTTTCAGTTGTGGAAAAGTCATGCCGTGAGCATAAATACTTGCTTTCTGCACTGGTTAATGTTCTCTTCAGCCATTTTTAACTGTACAAGTGTCCTGTGACTTTTAATAATCTTCTATAGGAGAAAAACCTTTAATTTTCTAATTGAAAATTCTTTATGATATGATTAAATCTCTAATTGCATAAATCATAATATACTACATCAGAATTAGAAGAAATATATAGTGTAAAAAGTATAACACTAGCCTGGGATTCTATGCCATGTAAGCAATGTTTTAATAACCATTCATTCCTTCTGTGATCTAGGGTTTTTATTTAACCTATTTTTATCTGTTTCACCATCCGTAAACTTGAGAGGAGAGATACTAATATAATAACTTCCTTCTGAGGGTTTTATGCCATTCATACCTATTATTTAATTCATTTTTATGTTCTTAGGAGTAAGATTCTAAGATTGTTCTATTCTAAGATTCTAAGTGAGAAGTTCTAGATTCTATTTCCCATTTTTTTAGTGAAAAACCCAAAACAGTAAATTTAAATTGACCAAGATCAGTGGACATCTTGGGACTAAACCCCACATTTTCTTTATTCTCAATCCAGTGATATTTCATAAACTATACTTTTTAATAGCTCAGGGAGAAATGAGGAAAAACTTGCTAATGATTTTCAAGTATTTTGATATATAGCATTAGAAATACTGTGAATCAAATTCTGTGGTGCACCCAATCAGATAAAACATTCTGTGGAAAAAAGTGCTCAGATATTTTAGGGAAATCAACAATTTAAGGATTCCAGGGAATCATTTAGTTTTCTAGAAGAGGTGGCTTTCCCAATTGTAACTTTGAGGTGTATGAAAAAATTAACTTGATTTATTTGAATGAGTATTATATGCCTTGGGAGTATTTTATTTAGACTAAATTATGAGAAAATAATACCTATTAAATTGCAGTAATGTCTAGATTGTATCAAACATTTTTCATAATTAACCAATAAGTAATTGGCCACACTTTCTAGTGGAAGTTTATGTTACTGCTGATAATAGACAGAAATAATGCAGTCCAGATGTAGGCTTGCAGATAAGGACTCAAAAAAAGATACAGCTTAAAAACATATTTTTTCATTTTAATATTACAGAATTCTAAACAGTATTTGTTTTAGCAGCAATGTTTTGCCAAGCTTTGCATTTTAACGTTTTGCCTCAATGTACATAAAGTTTTTTTGTTTGTTTGTTTTTTTCCTACAATACCAAACTATAAGAAAAAGGAACATCTTTTTTTTTCTCAAAATCTCAACACTGAAAAGATAAATATGAGGCATTTTGGAATCCCAAACCTCCTTAGGTGTTTATACTGTTTTAATTAATAACTGTTTATTAGGGAATAGCATAATAGGATATGCATATGTCACACACGTCTTGAACACCTCATTCCTAAAACAGTTTTAATAGATATACTCTACCATCTTGTAGCCTGGAAAAGTGAATAAGAAACTAATTTAGTGAATTTTAATGCTAATGTAAAATTCTTTGAAGATGAAAAATCTCTGATACTGTGTGTCCTGTCCTTTAGTGGCTCTACTAAGTAGGTGGGGGAGGAGAGTGAGTTGGACAGGGCCACATAGCACAGGGCAAAAGATTAGTTATATTCAGAGGATTTTCTGTGAGGGTCTTAGGAAGCTGCAGGAACTGAAGAGGCAGGAAGCAGGTCAAAAAAGCAGGTTGATTCAGCACATATCACTAGAAGCAGCTGAGACAAATGAAGGGATGCTATAGAATATATTGCCCTCAGATGGAAAGTGGCACCGGTGTTTTGGCCATGGGAATGGTGGAGGGACTTATATAAGGGATAGACTGGAGTCCTGAACGTCCTTTCTTTCTCTCTGTCGCCAGGTCTTGATGCCAAATCATCTCTATTGAGGTAGGGGACTAGGAGGTACCAGTGATTAGTGGTAAAGGGACACAGGGCTCAGTCTTGATATGTTAGCTAGGCAACTCTAAGATTGTACAATGGGAAAGATCCCAAAAGTGATGGGCTGGTACTGTTACACACTCATGCAGGATACCCCAAAGAAAGTGAACCAAAGGTTACCATACTGAGTATATGCCTAGTTCTTTTTATTACTGGAATCATGACCAGATTACATTCTTAATACTTACTTCACTTTTTTCTTCCTACCATAAGCATTCAGAATATTTAAATGGTCATTAAAGATACAGAGTTTATGAAAACCTTTTTTCCCTTCAATTTAAGATTACAGAAGAATTAGAAAAAGTAAAACAGGAAATGGAAGAAAAGGGCAGTAGCATGACTGATGGTGGTAAGTATATGCTCATTTTAAGGAAAAAATATGTCAATGAAAGAGATGAATGATTGCTAAATAAAAAATCTAGTTAGTAAAATATTACTAAGATAATGATTATGATTTTTGTATGAACTAGTTGTTTAACTTGTTGGAGGTGAAATACATAATACAAAAGACATTTCTAATTTTCAAAGCAATATTTTCTTGATTATAGTTCACTAGTAACTTGTCGACTGACTGATTTTTTTATTCGTCTTTTTGATGAAGTCGAAGAGAGAGCAAAAAGTATAAAAATAATCAGTTTATTAAACCAAATAGTACCGTATGGTAAAAGATAGATTTTTATTCTAGGTACAGCCAGAAAAATGTTGGTTCTTTGTACAAATGGGCACAAAAGTAGTAGTGGGAATGATCTTACATTGCTCTTCTTCCTACAGTAGACATGAAAGGGCAAGAGGAAACATTCACCAAAAATCAGCTCTCACAGTGAGCTAGATATATCTATTTTTTTTTCAATTTTCCTAAGATTTCCCAATTTGCCCAAAGCTTTCCCAAATGGGGCCGTTTATTTCCCATGTTGCACCACACCATAGCAGCCCTACTGCCCTTACATGGAAGGTGACTGACCTTCACTGCATTCTCCTTCTAATCTCCACCCATTATAACTCAAAAGGGGCACATAAAATCCTATTTATTCATCCTTACCCTTACAGCAGCCTATTCACTGGAAAAGAAAAAAAAAAGATCAGATAAAACATGTCACTGATGTCCAAAATACCACAGCAAAACTGTCAACAGTGAGTTGTTGGCTATATTTTTTAATCTCTCTTTTTTGTGTAAGGCAAAGATTAAAGAAATTGTTATTATGCAAACTCAATAGTAGACCACCACCCCAAAAATACAGTTTTATTCCATGTTATTTTTGTCTTACAGCTCCTTTGGTAAAGATTAAACAGAGCTTAACCAAACTGAAGCAAGAAACAGTCCAAATGGACATTAGAATTGGTGTAGTGGAACACACATTACTCCAGTCAAAACTAAAGGAGAAGTCAAATATGACTAGGGATATGCATGCAACAATCATTCCAGAATCTGCAGTAGGTTCTTATTAAAATTTATTGTACTTTGTTTTCTGCTCAGTTTTTTCTTAAGTCCAATTATATTTCATATTGCTTATTTAAAAAATAATTATACCTCACTGAACATTATCAGAATGTCTAAGATATCTTATTCTTCTGTGTGTATATATATATATATATATATATATACATATATATATTCACATACATTGTGTGATGGTGAATTTGACTTTGAGATGGAATATAATTTTAATAAAATAATTAGAAATTTTTATTAGTGGGCTTGTCTTTGTTTCTTATTACATATGCTAGAGCTGTGGAGGTATGGCTGGTTCTGCTCCTTTCTCATAAACCTTTAACAGTAACAAGTTAAATGAACATTTCCTAAAGGCCTGTTCCATGGAAAGCACTGTGTTGGAGTTGAGGAGAAGGGATATAAAACTAAATAAAATTATCTCTGACTACAAGAAGCTTAAACTCTAATTGTGGAGATAAAGGTATACAAATAACTGTAATACAAAATGTACTCAAACACTCCAATGCATCTATGATTTCCTTTCCAAAGCAACCTACCTATGCTGTGTGACCTTTGGCCCCCCATCATATAAATTTGCTGCAGGGGAACCTTTCTTGCATTCTCTTGATCAAAAGTATATCACTGGAGGACACGGTCCATTGGTTTACCTCCATTTATATGACCAGTCTGTCTTCTTTTTCAAAAATATGTTTCTTTGATACCATCTACTGCTTCTCCTATTTAATCCCATTTTTTTCAGTGTGTTGCCACCCTCTCAAGCCAGCCACGTACGTCTCTATTACCCTTTGAGTGATCTTCAACTTTAATCCTTCAGAGACTACCATAATCATTAATATGTATATATCATTTAAAAGTTTTCAAAGCATTTTACAGATATTATTCTCACAATACCCCTGGGAGGTAGTTGCTGTTATAATCCCCATTTTACAGAAGATGAAACTGAAACAGAGGTTAAATGACTTGGCCAGCATCACGCAAATAGTAAATGTTTGAGGTCAGATTTGAATTCAGCACTTCCTGACTCCAAGTCCATCTTTCTACTTACTGTGCCGTCTAGATGCAACCATATATTGTCATTGGAAGAATGTCAATATCAAAAAGATGCACTTTTGTTTCAGAGAAAATCTTAAGATCATTAAAATAACTTTGCAGTTTCTAAAGGCAGTCAAGACTATTCTTTTCCCTCTTTTTGATTCTGGGCCCAACCCATTGTCTATTTTCCATTTCTGTCAAAATCAAAATTTTTACACACGTGTGTATGCGTATATATGTGTATCTATATGATATGTGTGTATATGTCTGTATATATAGACAAGTGCTGTAAGTTACATATCCAACTGCATATTCAGTTCAATTCAAAAATATTTACTAAGGCTCTACCATGTGCTAAATGCTAGGGATACAAAAAGACGCAAAAGATAGTCCTGCCCTCAAAGAGCTTCCAACTTAATGGGGAAGACAACAAGCAAATGAATATATTCAAGGCAAGCTATGTTCAAGATGTATAGGAAATAAGAGTGGGAAGGCATTATTAATTAATTAAGAGGGGTTGCTGAAGGCATCCCGTAGAAGGTGGGATTTTAGTTGGTACTTAAAGGAAGCTAGGGAGGTCAGTAGTTAAAGCAAAGGAAGGAGAGCATTTCAGGCATGGGGGAGGATGGTTGGGGGGCAGCCAGAAAAAATGCTGGGAACAGAGAGATGGAGGGTCTTATTCATGGAACAGCTAGGAGGCCAGTGTCAGTGGATCAAAGAATACTTTTCTGGGAGTAACGTGTACAAAGACTGGAAAAGTAAGAGGGGGTTAGGTTATGAAGGGCTTTGAATGCCAAACAGAACATTTTGTGTTTGCTTCTGGACGCAATAACAGAGCCACTGGATTTTATAGAGTGGGGGGATGCCATGATCAGACCTGTGTTTTAGAAAAATAACTTAGTCTGAACAATAGCCATGAAAGACTGCCCCCTAAGATCTCAGCTTATCTCATTTAACTCTCTCAGTACCCTTTGAAGGCTTTAAGGTTCTAAAGGGTTGCTTGTTTCTTCTTTCTCCCTATTAAATTGTTAGCATTGAATCATCCTAGTGCTTCTTCCAACTGTTCAAATAAATTTACTTTTCTAGGTTTCTCTAAACTCTATTGTTTATATTTCAAAGTTTGTATTTAGCTTATTAGAAACTCTTAAAAGGTCTCTATTCTAATAAAAGTTCTTTTTTTCCCCTTATAAGGTTATACTTTGCTTTGTTAGATAAGTTATTCTTGGTTGATAGTCTATTACATTTTATCTTTTGCAATATTGTATTCCAAGATCTCTCATTTTTAGTAGAAGCTGTCAGGCATTATGTGATCTTGACTCTAGATCTTTGGTACTTGAACTCCTTTTCAGCTAGTTACAGCATTTTTTTCTTTTTCCTGAAAGCTCTGGATTTTGGTTGTTTCATTCTGGGGATTTACCCTTTTGGGGTTTCTTTCAGGAAGCCAGTGGTAAATTCATCTTATCTTTACTTGGCCCTCTGGTTCTAATAGATCTGGACATTTTTCATATATGATTCCTTGAGATAAAGTATCCAGGCTTTTTATTTTTAATCATGGTTTTCAGGAGTCCAATGATTCTTAAATTCCCTCCTCTACCTGTTTTCCAGATCAGTTTTCTAAATCAGATATTTTATATTTTCTTTTTTTTGTTTCAATCATTTTATTTTGTTCCAATATTTTTTGCTGTCTCATTTCTGTTTGGTCTGTTTGAGTTTTCAGGGATTCCATTTCTTGGGGAAGGTTTATCACTTTCTCTTCTAAGATTCTTATTCTCTTTCCAATTCTTTGCTCTAGAGCTTTTATTTCATTTTTTTAAAATTTCACTTAATTTATTGTAGTTATTTATATAGTCCTCATGGAAAATTAATGTTTCCTGTGTCTACTTGCAGTTAATAATATAAAAACAACTAACATTTATATAATGCTATGTGCCAGGCACTATACAAAAAGTTTCACAATTATCTCATTTGATCCTCACAACAACCCTTGGTGTTATTATTATCTCCATTTTACTGATGAAGAAACTGAGGCACACAGAGGTTAAGTGATAGCTATTAAGTGTCTGAGGCTGGCTTTAAATTCAGGTCTTCTTGACTCCAAGCCCTTGATTCACTGCCCCACCTAGCTGCCTAGTTGTTGAGTTATTTACTCCTTTTGGGGAATCTCCAAATTTGCAGTAATTTTTGATACTGGTTGTTATTTTCTCTGATTTACTCATTTCTCCAGCTTTAGTTCCTGAATTGGGCCTTTGTTTCAGGAAAAACCTCTGCCCCCTACTGTGCTTTTGGGTGAGATGGTCCACCCTGCTTGGTCTCAGCTTGGGTCCCAAGGATCTTAAACTGACCAACTCCCAGGATTAGTACACCCTTCTCTTCCCTGCCCATTAATTTTTGAGGTTCACAGTGCTGGAACTTCAGGGCCCTCTCTGATGTCTTATAACAGAGTGTTAGGGCCCTCAGAGACCATGGGTGTAAGCTCAGTCGCTCAAATAAACATTAAATGCCTTCTGCAAAGAAAGGCAAATAACAGCCTCTGCTCTCAAGGAGCTGACAGTCTAATGGAGGAGACAGCATGAAAGCAACTCTGTACAAACAAGCCCTGTCGAGGACAAACTGGAAATAATCATCACAGGGAAGGGGAATCAGGCTGCTGCCTGCTCCCACTCCCTGGGACTCCCAAGGTCTCCATACTGGGCCTTTTGGACCACCCTGGGACTTTGTCGGGATCCCATTTGCTCTCAATGCCTTCATGAAGACACAGAACTTTATAGGTTTCGTTGCTTGCTTGGGAGAATGCCTCTGCACTCGATTTGCTTGGCTGGAGGGCCTCCTTTTCCTTTGCCCATGGGCTTAGCTTCCTCTGCAGACTGTGTAGTTCTGAGGTGGAGGAAGCAACTGTAGATTGTCAATGGGTTTCTTGATCATTATTCAGTCTAAAACAAATGTCAGCATTTTGTCAGGCACCAGGCCCATTCAGGCATTTGTCTTGGCCAAAAGTACCCTTCAGCCTCTCTTGATGACAAGGTATTATCTGTGTTCTTACAACTTTCAGGGAATTTTTCCTGGCCATGTAAAAATTTTGTGAGAATAATCTACACATATATTGAGTGCATCCTACTTTGTATGACCTTAGGCGTGTCTCTTAATCTCTCTGAGCCTCAGTTTCCTCCCTTGAAAGATGAAGGGGTAAAGCATTTTAGGATGGCTTCTAAAATCCCTTAGCGCTCTAAATCTTTGATCCTAGTATTTATGATTTTGGAAGGAAACAGATGGGTTTTCACATATGAGATATTCTACAGTAGACTATATCATACAGTTGGCTGAAAGATTGAAAATAAAATTTTGAAAAGTGTGTGTACCCCACGTATATGTTAAAATTTAGAAAATGGAATATGAGCATCGAGTAGGTCTTTGTAATCTCCGTAGGGTCTTACTACGTAAAGCTAGTTGAGGAAGTCATGAGATGCTGTTGCAGTAGTTTTGTCCCGGAAGACAAAGTCACTCTTCTCCCTATTTTCCAGTTATCTGAAATTATCTTTTATTTTTCTTGGACAAATAAAAATTTTTAAAAATACAAATGTTTTAAAAGTCCTAGCTATATTGAATTTTGATGTTTAATTGTTTTAATGCTACATGAGATTTCGTGGAGAAAATGATTCTGTTAGAGGTATCATCCAGTTTCTGTTGCCCCCAGAAAAATACTAGACATTTTAACTAATGTAGGGTAGGTGTTCCCAAGCATGAGGAGGAGAACAGGTATCTAGCCTTAATTTGCACTTAACTCACATATAATGAAGAAGAATTTCATAAGGAAAAGAAAAAAATGACAAACTCTTCAAGTGAAGGGCTGTTTGTGCTCAGCTGTGCTAATGAACAACAAACTGGCCAGCCATCCCTGAAACAAAATAAAAGATATTTGGTTGGGTAGTTATTATTGTGGGTGTTAGACTTTCTATTGGACATAGAGAATGGCATAAATTTAGAGAAAGGCAACAGTGATGACAAGTTGGTAGAAGTAATATTATGTGTAATTAATCAGGTTCCCGTCCTTTATCACATTCTTTATAACCTTTTTCTACTTTTGTTTTCAT